AAACTTCTTCAAAAAAGGAAAATTGAAAATCTTAAATGTCTTTGCAAGAAATAGGGCCAAGGGCTGTGACCTTAAAAGAGATGTGTGTGTATGTATTTATGAAGACCCTAATCAAAAAGGGATCAAAATGTATTGACCAATTTACAGAAGAAATAAGAAATGCAAATGAGTAATAAACATGAAAAAAAAGTTCAGTTCTACTAGCAGTTGAAATGATATAGTTTTTCTCTTGTCAAATCACTAAAGATTTTAAAGTGATTAGAGGTCCTTTTATGAGAAGGTAGTATGGGCTGTTGCACTTACTACTAATGGAAATGTACATTGTTATTAACTGATCTGAGAAGCATCTGGACAAGATCTGTCTAGCTTCTAGCAGTTTGTCCTAATGAAATCATCAGGGACATGGAATAAAGGGAATGTATTGGGATGTTTATTGCAGTCTTACTGAAATAAGGAGCAAATAACAAGCAACTTAAATTTGCTTTAATCAAAGCTACACAATTAAGTGATAAGTTCGCAAGCCATCGTAAATTATTTTTCCTGGAAAATATTAGATAAGTGGTGTCTCCTTGTAATTAAGGGCTGACCTGCAGCTGTAGTCTTACTTGTAAAGTCACTTTCCTATTGTAATAAAGTGAATGTGCTGTTCCCTTAAAAAACACAAATCTCTAGCAGCTGTGGGTAAGCGCTCTGGAAAAAGCCCGTCCATAAAAATGTTGAGCCAATTATAAATTACAAAAATGTGAAATATAAGAAAAAATATGTTTTATGTAAAACTGTTCCCTTACTCCAAATTCCTTGTTACTGTTCCTTTCCCTTTCTTCTTTTTTAAAGCCAGCTCTTGCTAAGACTTGTGCACTGAAAATGACCTGGAATTAAGTAGGTTCTAGGTTATTTATTCACATTTACCTGAAAGAACCCTCTGCTGACTTTCAGTTTAAGTACACATTTTTCGATCTGCCTTTTAAGAAGAGAACCACATAAGACCTGCAGGCAAGAAATTATTAACCCCTTTTCCTGACATAGAGTTTGCTCTCCTGTAAGCTTCTCCTGCAAGCCCAGGGGTGCTGACACATTACTGACGGTTACTGAAGTTTGGAAATGACAATTTCTGTGCTGCCTTGAAGGACATGCCAAATGTGCCATCACCTCTGACTACCCGTGGAAGATAGACTCTAGGAAAATAGTCTGGTTTTGCGTTTGTGTTTTTGCTTTTTTGGTTTGAGAAATAATCACAAATGAGTACTCTGGATTTCATACCTTTTGTCATGGCCTCTGTTCTGGCTGTTTCGTTGGTTGTTCTGGGTTGGGAGTTTTACTTTTCTTGTTTTCTTACTCTGTATCTATGCGTATGCATACAAATGTATACGTGTGCATGTGTATGTGTATATCGTGTGGTGTAAATATAGAGCATATATAGGTATGTGTGGATCAGGGGAGTACAGGGTCATGATGAGTGTGGAAGACAGAAAGGAAGGATGCTCTTTAAATTTAAATATAGTCAAATAGCATACATCCCTAGAGAGAGTATCTACGAAAACGAAAGGAGAAGTAATACATACTAAACCTTTCTGTTGTGTTTCTTTAAAATGCCTTACTACTTTAAAAGGTATTTTTGATATTTAACATATTTAGATCTGGCTTTAATTTTAATATTTTGTCTCTTTTATAACATTAGCCAATTAAAAACTTATTAATAAGCCCCTTAATTTATTTTTCCCTTGCTTGCTAGACTCGGTGCCGTGGGAACACGGGGATGTAGAGCATGTTTCTGCCTTCCAGGTGCTTTCAGTTAGTTGGAGACATAATCAAGAGCTGACTGACAGCTAACGTGTATATGTATTTACCATGTGCCAGGTCCTGGGCTAAAACGAGTTACAGGAATTGTTTAATCCTTAACAACCCTGCCAGGTAGATACTATGATTATCCTCATTTTAGAGTTAAGACAGTGAGCCTTAAAGAAGTCTTGAAAGCTGGCAAGTCTCACAGCTGGTAAATAAGTCAGCGGCAGAACTCAGATGCTCACTCAGATCTGTCTGCCTCTGGTCTTTGCTTTTGAACGCTCACCGATGCTGCAGCCCTGATAGAAGTGGTGTGGCCACCTGATTGCCCTGTCCCCTTGGTGTTGTAAATGAGTGTATTGGGTCAAGGCACTTCAGCTTCATAACCTGTGGGAATTCCACTTGCTTAGTAGTCGCCACCTGGAAAACCGATGTGAGTGAGGTCGGGACGGTGTCACGGTGCGTGGGCGAGTGCAGCGGTGACGTCTGTGCTGGCCAGGAGCAGGGACGGAGCAGGCTTGGGTGGTTGCCAGAGTTCCTTCCAGCTCTACGCCTTCATGGACGCAGCGTTTTGTCCTTTTGCCTGCCCCTTAGAATTTTCTCTTTTGAAAATACCAAATGTGGCATGCTTTCTTTGTTGAAATTTACGTGAAGAAATGAAACAAGAACGATAGTAGGGTTTTTGTTGTTGCCTTTTTAAATGACTTCAATTTAGAAAACTGTTATCAAGCACCTCTTCTGTACGACTAACATCACCAAACCATCTTCTGGACCATGCTCCTCATTTTTGACGGCCATAGACCCTCACATTTCAAATCTGATTACCTTCGCTCTTTTCTCCACTATCTCTTTATGTTTATCATGAAAGTAAAAACTTCGGTTAATTGTAAAGACTCTGACTGGTAAACAGGTAAACACTTTCACCGAAATTCAGGACTAAAGTTTTCGGGTTTTCACTTTTGGACCTTATTTGCTCTGGGTGACTCATCTATGTCCTGGTGAGATCCATTCCTGTGCCAAACGTTTGTGGTGACTTCAGGAAAACCCTCCTGCCATACGAGGAAGAATTGTGAAGGGATTTCTAGTTCTACTTGCCTTCCCTCTAATTGCCTTCCATGAGACGAGAGCCGTGGGAACCTGAAATGAGAAGACTGTGAAATACCAGCGTAGAAAAGTGAGGATAGCCAATGTGTAATTTTTGTGCTAAACCAGAAGCCATTTTGTATGGATTCCAGTCTGGGCCAGCAGGCCCAGGTGACGGAGTTGGGGTGGGCTTGGGATGGCATAACTGATTTCTGCAAATTAGGAAGAGACGGTTGTCTGAGAACCACCGAGCTGCGGCGTCAGGAGTACTTGTAAGCCTCTCGGCTCCTTCTGGCGTGGTGTTGCGAGGACTCTGAGATACACAGGATCCTTTTTCTGGGTTCTCATGAGTCTTTCCCAACTTCCTAGAAAACAAGAGAAACAAAGAATAATAAACAATTTGTCCTCCGACCCTTTACATCGAAGTCTGAATTCTGTCTGCATGTGTGATTTTAGAATTCACCCATCTTTTCTTCATCCCAGGACCAGGCTGGCACATTTCCCCTTTTGCTTCCCTGGAATTGCATCTCTTTTTGTAGAATTCCAATGTATGTCATCACTTGTCCTGTTTACTTTTTCCTTTTTACATTTTGCCTTTCATAAGAGAACTTTAGAGCGATGATCTTCCGTGTTTCAAATCCTTTGTAAATCTTTCCCCTCAAATAATCTGAGTATCACCTCAAAATCAGAATGACTCTTGATTGGGCCACAGAAATGAATATATTATCAGATGAACTTTTATCACTCCATTCTTAATATCTTAATTGATTTTTATTAAACTGTGAATCCATAAGGTGAGTGATATAACTCCATAGTCATTGATAATTCTTTTTAATATTGCCTTTATTTGAATTCTATTGATTTCTTAAGTCCAGTGATAATAATTATTCTTCTTCATTATGTTCCCTAAAACTTACACAGATCAGTTATTACATTCTCACATTTTATTATAAAACACCTCTATTTAAATTTTTTTCTACTTATCAAATTTGATCAGTATTCTTTCTAAAGAGAAATATATCTAGGTACGTTAAAAAATGTGCTTGCATTTTGTTTTGTACTATGGAGCTGATATAGAATATATAATGTTTTAATAAGCAGACTATTTTCTCTCCCTTAAAGTCTGGATTTTGAGAGACTGTAGAGGTTGGTTAGGTTGAAAATTGAGTGCACATCTTATTGAATTTCGAATGGTGTGTAAGGTAAACATCACTATTCTGGAAAGAAAATAGAACCAGAATGATGCAACAACATGAAAAGCAAGCAGAATGAAATGGGAATTGACTGAGAAAAGGAACTTTTGCCTAAGCCTTTTAAGCTCACATGTTAAATGATAATGATGACCGGAGAGGGCTCTTGCAGCAGACGATTTATTTAAATACTTAAAAAATTGTTTTAGTAAAAGGTCATATGACCTATTGATGAGAGTACACAATTAAAACGATGAAACTTATTTCCAAATTTCAGTAGGTTTCCATAGAATTTCCATAGGAGAGAAAAGACCCGAGGCTCGGGCATTTGCTCCACCCCTGGAATCTCAACAGTTCAGTAACTTGCTCTTAGGGACAGGCTGGTTCTATCAGCCTGATGCATGTATTGGCATGTTAGATGCTGTGCTCTCCCTAATTTAGTTTTCTTTTTATTTAACAATAGATGCTGTCTGTGCCACAGGTATGTTGTGAGGCTATGCTGAGAATATAATATAAAATATTCTAGTATTTATGAATGAAAGAATTTATCATCTATATTTAAAATATTTTTACAGTGCTTTTAACTTTTTCTTATCAAATGTGTTCATCAGTCAGTCCATATCTTTATGATTTCTGACTTCTTTATTTTATTTTATAACATCATTATTTTACTCATTCATTTCTGAAAAGAATTCTTTGTGATTTAGAACCAAATGAAATTTACATTATTATAACTGTATAATTAAATGTTAGATGATTCTCTTATAAATTGTTGTTGTAATGAAATTGTATAATATCTATTCTTTTTCCTCTTACTAACTGCACTGGTAATGATATTATGGTGAATAAAATCCGACCCAACTTTGAGAGTTTTTTTATTTTTGTTTTTGGGGGGTTTCTCTTTGTAGTTCTTATTGCTAAAAATAATTTTTTTTGTACTTGCAGCTGGTTTTAGAAGAAGTTTCCGTCTTAGTAGAAAAGATAAGAAAACAAATAAATCCATGTATGAATGCAAGAAGAGCGATCAGTATGATACAGCTGACGTTCCCACATATGAGGAGGTGACCCCCTATCGGCGACAAACTAATGAGAAATACAGACTCGTTGTCTTGGTTGGTAAGTGTTTGCTTTTGTGTGTGTAGTTCTGATGAAGTAAGTGAGATAGTAAGAATTTAACTTCAGAGAGCATCCTGCTTGACATTATCAAGCTAAAAAATCTCATCTTGAACATCTTTTGTTGTGTCTCTAAAGTGAAATCTTTAGTCTTTTGTACTTACATGACATTGAGGAGACTTTTAAGACATCTGTGAAGAATGGTACTGACATTTTAGTGGAACCGATCTAAGAGAGGGAATAGCAAACATCGCAGTATATTAAGCATATCAGGGTAACTAAATAATAGAAACGAGTATTTTGAATGTAATGCAAGTTTCTTTCAATTCATTTTGAGGCAGTAGCCATGGTATCAGCTTCCTATGGCATTTAGGCCTTCAGTGAAGTAAACTATTTTAGCAGAGTTTCTAGGATATGTAAAGCTGGAGAGTCAGTTAACAAAACTGCCTGAGTATGTAGTTAATAAATATACAGTATGTGAAGATTTCTGTAAACATTGGCTGGTTTGACGCCATTACATTCTAGCATCTATCTTGTCAGACCTTCATGAACATAATAAGCATCACAGCCTCCTTATTACTCCACCTCATCCTCGTTTGTGTTTTTTTAAAAATGGTGACAAGTACTTAAGCTCCAAGCATCAAAACCAATAATTTCGGGGGAGAAAAATTGGAATAAAGGAGTCCGGTGTCTCTTGTTAATTGTTCCTTTATAAACCGAAGATGACAGTTATGGCGATGAAAATAAATGTAAAAGCTAAAGAATCACCCCTTCAGTTAAGATGGAGTCCTTGGAAAGGTTACAACACATGTTCTCAACAGATGGTGGGTGACTAGTGGGGAGTGATGCCATTTCCCACGTCTTACGGCACTGGAAATGATCAGTAACGTCATCAGATATTCACATTGTTTGCATTATTTAGAAATACATATCCACATACTTTAAAGTTTCCTTTATTAACAGTGTCCACTTCTTACAACCTGTGTATACTGAATCCCCGCCAGACGCCACCTGGAAGAATATTGTCCATAGGTTTTTATGTTTCCTTTAAAGCTTACAGTGCCCCAGCTTCCAGTCCTTGTAGAGTTGGGCTCATGAGAGTACAGGCATTCCCTGGTTCTAAATTCTTTTGTCCCTACTGGAACCTTGTGCTCCTCTCCCACCTCCTTGTCCCTCAACAGCACCCATCTCAGCAGTATCTCTTCCATCCCTGGTGCTCCACTCTTCAGCCAAGGTCTGCTCCTCACCCCAGGAGGAAGACGCCTTTCGCCTTAAATCCAGATGACTCTCTCTACAGCCAGGGAGTTATTATTATGGCTGTGTAACTTTTGGTTTTCCGTAGGGGATCCAATTGAAAGAGGAAAGTAGAATCAACTTTGCCTTTTTTTCTTTCCTATAGGTGCTAACAATAGAAACCCTTTCCTCAGGGGTGAGGAAGGGAAGATAGATGAGGATAAACTGTGAGTCTGAATAGTAATCCAGGGAAGAATAAAAGTAAATCATACTCAAAAGCAACTAAAGATGGTTGATAGTTATGGAAAAGAAATAGCCACTCCCTAGACTCTTCCAAAGGAAAAGAACATGGGGGAATGGTGGCCTCATGCATGTTAGAGGTAATCATGGAGTTCTGTTAAAACAGTACGAAATGCAGGTATCATCACCTCTCCCTACAATTCCTTAAGGAAATTCCTAGTATCTTTTTTATAGATTCCTTGAAATTTTTTGCATAGATAATCCTGTTATTTGTGACTAGAGACAATTTTATCTCTTTGTAGGAATTTTATTTTTTTATTCTTGCCTTATTGTATTCTCTCCTTACTTTAGGCTCTTCAGTACGGTGGTGAATGGAGTGGTGAGAACAGACATCTTTGCTTTGTTCTCAATCTTAGAGAGAAAGTATTCAGTCTTTCACCATGAAATATGATATTAGCTATAGGTTTTTTTTATAGATGCCCTTTACCAGGTTAAGAAAATTACCTTCTATTATTGGTTTGCTGAGAATATTTATCACAAATTGATGTTTAATTTTGTCAAATGGTTTTTTGCTGCATCAGTTGAGAAGATTATATGGTTTTTCTTATTTGATCTGTTGAAATGGTGAATTGCATTGATTGATATTTGAGTGTTGAATGAGCCTTACATTCCCAGCCTGGACTCCACTAAGTCATCATGGATTAGCCTTTTGTATAGTACTAGATTCAATTTGCTGGTCTGTAGTTTTCTTATAATATTTTTGTCTGCTTTTTGAATGAAGATAATGCTATATTCATAAAATATGTTGGGAAGTGTTTCCTCCTCTTCACTTTTCTGGGAGAGTTTGTGTAGAATTGGTATTATTTTCTTTTTAATTGTTTGGTAGATTCCCCAGTGAAACCACACCTGGGCTTGGAGCCATCTTTTTTGGGAGGTTTTAACCACAAATTTAATTTCTTTTAAAAGACTAATATATATATAGAGAGAGAGAGAGAGGGAGGGAAGGAGGGAGGAGAAGAGGGAAGAGTGCAAGAGAGTGCACCTCTGTACCTTTATACACACACACACGCACACACACAACTATTCAGGTTATCTTCTTGAGTGAGCTCTGGCAGTTTGTGTCTTTAAAGGAATGTGTCCGTTTCCCCTAAATTGCCAATTCTATAAGCATAAAATTGTTCATAGTATTCCTTTATTTTCCTTTAACTGTAATGTCTGGGTAATAGCCCCACTTTCATTCATGATATTGGTAATTTGCGTCTTCATTCTTACATCAGTTATCTATTGCTGCATAACAAGTTATTACAAACTGAGTGACTTTGAAACAGCATACATTTATCATCTGAAAGTTTCTGCAGCTCAGAATTTGGAGAGTTTGGACGTGGCTTAGCTGGGTACTCTGCTTCAGTGTCTCTCACAAGGCTGCAGTCAAGTCTTGGCCAGGGGTAGGGGTCTCATTTGAATGCTAGACTGATGAAAGATCTGCTTCCAAAACCATATGGTTGTTGGCAGAATTCGTAGGCCACCCTCAATTCCTTGACATATGGGCCTCTGCAACATGGTAGCTTGCTTCATCAAGGTGTGGACACTGAGAAGGCAATAGAGAGATTCTGCTAGTAAGATGGAAGTCACGATCTTATGTAACCTAATCAACAAAAGTACATCCCATCATCTTTCTGTAACAGAAAACATCCCATATGCTGTTGGTTAGAAGCAAATCACAGGTTTTGCTCACATTCAAGGTGTGGGAGTTGCACACAGGTCTGAAAAACAGGAGGTGAGGATCATTGCTGGCCTTCTTAGAGTCTGCCTGCCTTAGCTCCTTTTCCAATTTATTGATCTTTCATAACACTAGCTTTATGTTTTTAAGATTTTTTCCTATTGTTTTTCTTTTCTCAATTTCATTGATTTCTGCTCTTATTTTTGTTATTTCCGTCCTCTGCCTACTTTGGAGTTATTTAATTTTCTCTTTTTCTAGTTTCTTAGGGTTGAATCTTAGATCATTGACTTGAAACCCTTTTTTACAAATTTAAGTATTAATGGTCACAAATTTAAATTTCCCTCTAAACACTGCATCCTACAAATTTTGATCTATTGTGTTTTTATAACATACCATTCAGATCAGAATATTTTTAAATTTTCTTTGTGACTTCTTTGATCCTTAAGTTGTTTAGATGTTATTTAATTTCCAAATATTTGGGGATTATTCAGATATCTTTCTGTTATTGATTTCTTCTTTAATTTCATTATGGTCAGAGAATATGCTTTGTATGATTTCGATTCTTTTAAATTTGTCAAAAAAAATTTTTTTTTTGCCCAGAATATGGTCTACATCATTGAATGTTCCATGTGCACTTAAAAAGAGTGTATCTTCTGTTGTTGTTGGATGGAGTGTTTTATACATGTTATTTGTCAGGTTGGTCGATAATGTTATTCAGGTCTTCTATATTCTTACTAATTTTTTATCTACTTGTTCTGTTAAATGTTGGGAGAGGAGTGTTATATTCTCTATAATGGTAGACTTATTTATTTCTCTTTTCACATCAGTCAGCTTTTGCTTAATATATTTAGAAGCTCTGTTGTTAAGTGGATACACAGTTAAGAGTATTATGTTTTCTTTTTTCTTTCTTTTTTTTTTTTTGTGAGGAAGATCAGCCCTGAGCTAACATCCATACCAATCCTCCCCTTTTTTGCTGAGGAAGACTGGCCCTGGGCTAACATCCATGCCTCCACTTTATATAGGATGCCGCCACAGCATGGCTTGACCAGCAGTGTGTTGGTGTGCGCCCGGGATCCGAACCCAGGCCGCCAGCAGCGGAGCGCACGCACTTAACTGCTACGCCAGGGGGCCGGCCCCAGAGTATTATGTTTTCTTAATGAATTGACCCTCATGCTATATACTGTCCTTTTTCATCCCTGGTAATATTCATTGTTCTGAAATCTACTTTGTGTGATATATAATGTAGCCACTCAAACTTTCTTTTGCTTATTGTTTGCATGGTAATCTTTTTCTCTCCTTTTACTTTAACCCATCTATGTGTTTATTTCTTAAGTGGGCTTTTCTTTTTTTTTTTCCCTGAGGAAGATTCACTCTGAGCTAACGTCTGTGCCAGTCTTTGTCTATGTTGTATGTGGGTTGCCACCACAGCATGGCCGCCAGTGAGTGGTGTAGGTCCGCGCCCAGGAACCGAATCCAGGCCACCCAAGCGGAGCACACCAAACTTAACCACTAGGCCACGGGGCTGGCCTCTGTATCCTGGACATTTTAAACATTATTTTATATAGACTTTGGGTCTTACTATATTCCTCTGGAAAATGTTAAATTTTTTAGCAGGCTATCAGCCTGGTTGGGCTCAGTCTGCATGCCTCAGTTCAGTTTTCAAGTCTTTGCTGTGCCACGTTGTGTCTGTTCCATGCCTGTGACACTTGGGTTAGTCAGACTTTTCAGTGGTTTAAATTTTAGTTCATTTCTCAAAGCCTTTGTTATTCTGCTTTAGGTTCATCTCACTTGTGCACAGCTTAGGGGTGAG